ATGGTGACAGGTATGGATCTATCTGCAATCCTCTGCATGTCCGAATCCAATTGTGCCAACACCATTTGTTGAAGATGTTATCTTTTTTCCATTGTATACATTTAGCACCTTTGTCAAAAATAAGGTGTGCGTAGGTGCGTGGGTTAGTATCAGGGTTTTCAATCGATTCCATTCGTCTATCTGTCTATTTTTGTGTCCAGTCAAGATTTTTAAATTAATTTTTATTTAATTGAAGAACAATCCCATTTTTCATACCCATCCTATTTTTCTCTCCCTCCTGTCCTCCCATTCCCCCGCACCATTCCCCCATCACATAGACCATCCACACTTCAGGGAGGGAGAGACCCCCAATGGGGGAATCATCAAAGTCTGTCATATCATTTCAGGTAGGGCCTAGGTTTCCCCCTAGTTTTTAAGAACACCGAGTTTCCCTTCATACAGAATCAGCCCCCAAAACCCATTTGTTACTAGGGATAAAAACTGATTCCACTGCCAGTGGCTTCATGGATGGCCTAACCCGCCAGTTGACATCAGGGGGCCTTGTTTGCTCCTATGCTGACTCTCCAGCTGTAAGTCTGGGGCCTGCGGGCTGTCACTTGTTCAGGTAAGCTGTTTGTGTGCTTTTCCCCAGCATGGCCTTGACACCTTTGCTAATCAATCATCCCTCTCTACAACTGGATTCCAGGATTTTGGTTCAGTGCTTAGCTGTGAATATCTTCTTCTGCTCCCATTAACTACTAGATGAAGGCTCTATGATGACCTTTCGGGCAGTCACCAATCTCATTATAGGGGAAGGGCATTTAAGGTAGCCTCTCCACTATTGCTTAGGTTCCAGGCAAGATGTTTATTCATTTATTTATTTTTATTTTTTTCAATTTTTTAAGACAGCGTTTCTCTCAGCTTTGGAGGCTGTCCTGGAACTAGATCTTGTAGACCAGGGTGGTCTGGAACTTACAGAGATCTGTCTGCCTTTGTCACCTGCATGCTGGGATTAAAGGCATGTGCCAACACCACCTGACTCCAGGCAAGATTTTATTGCATGCAGTCTTATTAGTCCATTCTTGTTCTTTTGTCCTGTTCATCAATTGTCCTATTTAGAAATTAGCTTTCTATGTCTATGTATTTTTGTATTGCTCCTTGAGCTACCACTCAGCTTTCACAATCATTGAATTGGTCCAAGTTTCCTTCATTTATTTAAGTATAATTACTTTTCCCATATGATGAATTGATGAGGCCTTCTGTTGTAACATATGTTTTAAGGGTTTAGGGGCCCTCAGATACTCATAGCTCCTTGGGATGGTTTTGCATGTGCTACTCTTATACCTTGGGTTTTCTTATCTTCGGTTACTTCCATGGTGCTATTGTTTGTGTGGCTTTGGTGAAATCCCAGGTGGGATGAATCAATATGAAGACATTCCCTGTGATTTTTCTGTACTCATGGGTTTTTTGTGCTGACTCACCTTCCTCCTGATTATTCTTATGAACAATATTTATTATATTGTTTTTCATAAGTAAACTCCTTATTCTTTTGATTCCATACTTTGTCACTTCATCTGTTAGGTTCCCTAGGATTTGAACTGAAAGACCCCCGAAGAGGTACTTTCGTAGAAGGAGACCTGCACCCAGGAATCAGCGAGGCCACGAACTTGGATGCAAAAGCAAGAGGCTTTATTGGAGACATGAGTACCCAGGACGACTTAGCTTCTGTGTGGCTAAGCGCCCCGAGCCAAGGGAAAGGGGTCCTTATATAGGGAAAAAGGCGCAAGCTAGGAGCAGGGATTCTATTGGATAATTCTAATGAGGCATTATACAGAGCTATTCCCATTGGTCAATGTATATGAGGCGCTATACAGGGTTATTCAAATGAGGCAAAGTACAGAGTTATTCAAATGAGGTGAAACATAGAGTCTTTCAAATGAGGCGAAATACAGAATCATTTCTACCGGGCGCCAGGCCGGCTCACTTGGTGTTTGTTCTCGTGCCGGCCCACCTGGTGCTCGTTCTCGGGCCAGCCTACCTGGTGCTCGTTCTCGGGCCAGTCCACCTGGTGCTCGTTGCTTGGGTTGAAGTTTTCCTTCTAGAACCTTCTGTAGTGCTGGATTTGTGGATATGTATTGTTTAAATCTGTTTTTGTCATGGAATATCTTGTTTTCTCCATCTATAGTGAATGAAAGTTTTGCTAGGTACAGTAGTCTGGGTTGACATCCATGCTCCCTTAGTGCTTGTAGGATATCTATCCAAGACCTTCTGGCTTTCAGAGTTTCCACTGAGAAGACGGGTGTGATTCTAATAGGTCTTCCTTTATATATTAGTTGGCCCTTTTCCTTTGCTATACTTAATATTTTCTCTTTATTCAATAAATGTTTTGATTATCATTATTTGATTATTATTATTATTAAGTCCAGGGGAATTCTTTTTATGGTCCAGTCAGTTTGGTGTTTTGTAAGCTTCTTGTACTTTCATGGGCATATCCTTCTGTAGGTTGGAGAAGTTTTCTTCTATGATTTTGTTGAATATATTTTCTGTACTTTTGAGCTGTATTTCTTCACCTTCTTCTATACCTATAATTCTTAAATTCAGCAGGTTCACGGTGTCCCATATTTCCTGGATATTTTGTGTTAGGGATTTGTGGGACTTGAGATATTCTTTGATTGATGTCTTTATATCCTCTAGCGAGTCTTCAGCAACTGACATTCTCTCTTCCATCCCTTGAATTCTATTGGTTATACTCACATTTATAGTTCCTTATCATTTATCAGCCTATTTCCAGCATCCCCTCCTTCTGTTTTCTTTATTGTTTTTATTTCAGCTTTTATGCCTTGAATTTTTTGAGTGCTCATCCATTTGTTTGGTTGTTTTTTCTTAGCTTTCTTTATATTCTTTAAGAGATTTGTTTATTTCTTGATTTTTTTGGTTTGTCTTTTCCTCCGTTTCATGTAATTTTTTGACTTTTTTTCTTCTATTTTTTAAGGGATTTTCTTGTTTCCTCTTTAAAGGTCTCTATCATCTTCCCAACATGATTTTTGAGGTCCATCTCTTCTCATCATCTGTGTTGGGCTTTTCAAATCTTGCTGGTGTGGAGACCCTGGATTCTGGTGGTGGCATATTTGCCTTTCTGGGACACATGTTGGGCTGTTTCCTTCACCTATGACCACCAGGCAGCTCTACTGTTCTGCCCACACAAGAGGCAAGGTCTGGTTTCTGTATGCTGCACCTGGTAAGAGGGAAGGTCAGCTCTTGTCTGGTGAAGAGAGTATGGAGGAAGGCAAGGGGTCATATCTTACCTGCCCACAGAATCATGTAACAGATGAGAGTGGGAACAGCTCTCCC